CTATATTCGTCTTCTAAGCTATTCTGTAACCCCCAAGATAGAACTATACAGCGACTTGAACACGAGAGAGAAGACTCAAAGTATGCGAGAAGTAGATTACTCCAATGTTCGTTTTAATACAGAAAATACAGGGTTTTTATAATATTTTAAATGTCCTTGGGTTGCTAGAAGATTCTGGAGTGCTACTAAACATAGTAGCAGCCAACCAATCAGAGCCTCTGCATGTGACGTTTCTCTTCCTTGATATTTTCGGCAAAAACTTCAACTGAACGCTGATTGGATGAAACGCTTCTTAGTGTTTCCTGATGCTTGTTTGTCTTTTGCATGCAATTTTCTGGATCACCTCAACACAACTCATATGAACTATATTCTCCTACACATATTATTGTGTAAATGTGATTGTAATTTTGCTTAATTAGGATGCTATTTTTTGGAACTTGTCATCAGAAAGTCCGTAGATCTTCACTGGACCAATCTTTCGTGTTCTCACTAAGCATCGTGGGAATTGCAGTGGTCTCGTTTCAAAGTATGAGCAGTAGGATCGATGAGTTGCAGTAGTTTCCATCTGTCAAGCATAAGCTGTAGGACCACAGACTCAACACACATTAACAGCGACGTTACGCAAGCTTAACAGTAGTAACTCGGAATTTACAGTGTTATTTGACTATACGTTTGTTATCTTGCTTCTCTTGAATTGTATAAAATGAAGAAAACTGTAGCGAGTGTCGTGAATCAAAATTTCGTGGAAGAACAATGAAAAATAATTCTATTGATAATCAAATACTGGATTCTTTATAACCAGACAGATTAATCCTTATTTACACTACTTGTTTCGTACTATTTTAACAATAGCTGAATGTTACAAAAGATAAAAACCAAACAGAAGTTATATGATACCTTGCCCTAACGAAATGAAAATTGTGATATTTCGAAGAATGCTTATCATTCGTGAAGTTTACAATAAAAAATGCAAATAAAAGGTGTAAATCACTTGCAAAATTCAGTTGTGACATACTTCAGTAACCAAAACATTCACGTCCTAATATGTGATTGACATCAAATCCTCAAAAAAGTGCTTATCAGTTGATTTGCAACTGTATTATTCGGTGAGATACCTAGTTTCTACTGTTTGATGAAAATGAATTATTTGTCACATTAATAGCAATTGAGATTCATATTTTTTCGGCAACATGGCCACCCTTGAAAATGAATCATTCAAATATATTTATTTATAATTACCGTCAGTCACACTGAACTCAATGATTAGAGCTCGAGTGATTTATTTCAATACCCAAAATATAGTTCAAACTGTAGACTGAAACTTCAAATTCGAGGTTATGAATTCTAGAGATAGTAATTGGTTTATTGATTAACGAAGATGAGTTTTCTTGTCCTGCACTAACACGTAAAATGTCATGATTTATGGATCTGTAATGTATTTATTGAGCAAAAAGCCATTCAATTTGTTTTGACAGATATGAAAACATCTCTGACCATAAAGTTGGATAAACTTGAACATCCACCGATAAACAAAGAATCTATTTGATACCAGTTCGGAATGATCAAATTCAGTACGTACCTTGTTTTGGCGACGTCACTAATAATCTCATTGAGTTAATAAGGTCAAGTAAAAGTTACACATGAATAACGACTAACGATAGCTTAAACGTGTGATGTCGAATCTATGATACTGATTTACATACATGAAAGAGTAACTCGGAGAAACGATTACTGATCACCTACTGATATAAATAGTTCAAGAAATATTTTCCACACAGACGTTTCATTGAAAAGTATATTCATTTAGGATGCATATTCTAAGGTTGGTGCATAAAACATTGATATGAATAACCAACAGATTTTGCAGCATTCGCACACAATGTGAAATCTTAACAACAGCTCGTAAGTATTTAAAATATAGACAAGTCTTCAGCATTTTTCATCCAGAAATGCTACACCTGGTTGGAAATTGAGCAAATATGATCGATCATAATTTCCTGTATTGTAATTTATGGAATTTCGGAGTATTATTAGAAGTCATTCTTTGCCAAGTTTATTGTTGAGAATTATCTCAAAAATACATCACTTCTTAGTGTAGTTATTTACGCAAAACTTACATAGGCTTGTTTTTTTGGTTTCAGTAACGTTTAACCAGATTATTCAACGTTGTGAGAAAATTTGGTTACAAATGTATCAAAGTGTGACCCCTTTCCTTATATAAATCGAGATCGTTACAAAACCTATTTCAATGGAATTTTATTTCCTTGATAATAATTCAAAAATAATAAACGATACAACTTGTACCCTTACAAACATGTATATGTTTAGAGTGTACAAATATATAAAGCATAATAACATTTTGTAGCGCATCATTATAATAATGTTTTAATCAAGTAAATCTAATGACCTCAATTTTAGGTGTCTAAGTGAATACTTCAGTTGTAAAACATTAACGTCCTCTCTTAATAATGTAGCTACTGAGAAAAGTTTTAAATTTATCAGTAATCGAGTGTACAAAAAACCTTGATGAGATTAGTAGGCTGAAATTAATGACTTTTAAAAAAATGAAAAATTCAAACACATAGAACATCGAATAAACCATTGAAAATGCAATAATTGATATGCAGTAAACAATCATAAAATATATTCAGATCTCCATGTGAGGAAAAAACAAGAAACAGAAAATGAGATTGATTTCTAGCTATATCATACGATTTCATCTATCGAATGAGTTACATGGATAAAAGTTGGGAATCATTATGAGCCAACATCAGAACATAAAACGCGCTATATAACCCAATAGCACTTACATAAGCTTGTGTAATCGTATCACTAAATACTTTAGATTTAAGAAAAAAACATCACACGAATAATAATCTTTATTATTCATAAATAAACAAATTTAAACTGTACTGCTTATCGTTTTTAATAAATGCCAGCTTGATCATACAGAAAATAAACAAATAAATAATCTCAGTGAAAAGGCGAAAACGCACATATCTACCGTCGTACTGACGAGTCTTTTAAGTAAAATATAGATGATCGAGTTTCTAAAAGCATGTACACAGGCTTTGAGTTTAATTACTACAACTAAGAATAGAAAGTATTATGCCCTCTCATAGGATAAACTCAGGTATTTACGAATGACAATAATCACACTAAGTTATAATAAAATACTGCTAAACATGGTAACAATATTTCATCTTATCACGCTGAACCTTTCCTTACTAATTATAATTTTCGTATCTATCTTCATGATCAGTATTCAACCCCTCAACAACAAAATTATAATTAGCTTCCTTAATAAAAATAACGTTTTTATACCTTTGTTTATTCTACCTCATTGTTACCATGTTTAGCAGGATTTTGTTACCACTATTGCTGTAATTAATATCATTTCGGAAATTAAGTATATATTTGCGATCGTGCAGCATTGAAAATGAAATCGACGAAAAGACAGCTCTTAGCTGAACCAATTTTTGTCATTTTTTTAGAATGGGTATATTCCGTTTACTTAACAATAAATCTTTCCAAGGAGATTTTAAACTCAGCCTAAATTGTGAATAACAGATTTCAAGAAGTCTGTGTACTAAAACCAGAAGCCGGATTTTCTATGTTAGTAGTTGTTACAACTCTCTGAGCACTCAACAAAATATCCCAACATGAATGATAAGTAATAGCTGCATGACAGAATAAGTGTAGAACCTTTTAATTAACCAAGTTCCTCTCCACTTTCATACTTATCAACAAGTGTGCAAAATACGAGTGGAGCTAAAAAAACAGGAACCGCCAAAAACTATTAGTAGGCGTAAAGGTTGATACTCATTTATGAGCTTCGTGTCCGAAAAACAATAGTGAAACGAAGGTTTCGTGGAGAATTCTACAGTAAATAGAAATGAATATAACTAAACATTATTTTACACTAACGAAATATTATTTACTACAACTTGTAGTAATCCTAAGTGCAAGTTGTTGCTTCAGGACTGGCCTGCGTCAACGCCTGAACTAAGGATAGGAAGTGAAGTAGTCGAACACATTAACAACTTCACTTATCTTGGAAGTCTGATCAGCCCTAATGGGTTGGTATCGGACGAAATTTCAGCACGGATTCGAAAAGCTCGTTTAGCTTTTGCCAACTTACGTCACCTATGGCGAAGGCGAGATATCCGTCTATCAATAAAAGGACGAGTATACTGCGCGGCAGTCCGTTCTGTTTTACTTTACGGCAGAGAAACATGGCCATTAAGAGTAGAAGACACTCGTAAGCTACTAGTATTTGACCACAGATGCCTTAGAAATATTGCTGGCATCTGCTGGGATCACCGGGTAAGTAATAGTGAGGTTAGACACAGGGTATTAGGGAGTGATGGTAAATCAGTTGTAAATCTTCATCGACTGAAATGGTTGTGCCACGTGTTACGTATGCCTGAACACCGATTACCACGACATGCAATGCTAACCGGTTTTGGAGATGGTTGGAAGAAAGTTAGGGGTGGTCAAACGAAAACGTGGCATCAGTGCTTGAAGTCACTAACTTCTAGTCTGAGCCATGCTGGTAGATGCAGACTACTTGGTTGGGGTCCGCGTGACTTTCGTAACCAATGGTTAGAGAACTGTGGGTGACATGGCTCAGAATCGATCGCAATGGGATCGGTGTATACACTCCCTGTCTTCACTTAGACTAAGAGATTAAAATCACTTCATATCTTTCTTTCCACTAATTCTTTCTTCCTATACTATATCCTTATTGCAATCTTTCTCCTATATATTACGACCTTTGACCTAACCACTTTTATGAATCCGGTGTTCATCTTGCTGTGCTAATGAGGTATGGCAACCTGGACCGATGCACATATATGCCTGGTCCTACGTTGTAGCTGACTGAGTTATCCAGTGACTGACAAGGAAGGTGTGGAAGAAAAGAAAAGCAATATAAGTAATGAAAGTCAACAATGCCTACTACTGAACAATATTTAGGGACATGGTAAAAAATAGAAGACTTTATTACTCATCAAATATATGTATATTAGTGGGACAATTGCAGGGTCTCAGGTTTAAAGAACCGCAAAAAGAACAATTCAGAGGAAATAATTTGGCGTAAAATTAAAACGAAAAATAAAGAAGTGAAAATCAGGATTTCAGGTTAAGCATAAGCACAGATAAGAAAGGGATGTTTATTCAAAAGCTTGTTTATGCAATATGATTTATTAAATGGAGCATATACTTAAAAAAGCATAAAATTATATGTATCGAACTAAGTAGCAAGGGGGAAAACACGTGAACTTAACAATGTTAACAACTATACACGTAAAACAAAATGATGCGGAAAAAAATATTGAATAACGTAAGGCAACAGACATTAGTGAACAGTAAGAAGCATATAAGTCGATTTTTAGGGAAATGAAAAATTGAGTCCCCAAATGCTACAAAAAAATCTAAGATTTTTGTTTGATTCAAATTAACTGAAAAAACAGGTAACTGTAATTACCGGCTCATTGACAGATATATGTATATGAAAATATGGACGGAGTAGTGCAGTGCAGGAATTAAGAAAATATGAGAAATAGAATGTGGATGATGACAACATTAAATATCGTCGAAAATTAAGAGAATAGTACTTTACATATGATTTTAAAAATTGTTAGCATTATAGTAAGCTGGGAGTGGGATTAAATCAGAACAGCAGGTGGAAGGGGAAGTGATCTAGTGATACATTACTTCCAAAATCAAATATCCTAAACAAAACATTGTGTCATTTTTTCAAGGGAAAGCGAAGCATATTAATTAGCTGAAATAATAACAATATCAACGAACAGGCAAATTCAAAAAAGATTCAATACAACAAGACGGTTTTTCATCGTCTATTCTACTACCTTGTGAAACGTCCATATGATGAAGGAAAGATGTGAAGGAAAAAAAGGAGAAACACAATCGGAAAAAGATAATCATAATAATTTAAATATACTCAATTATTATGTGCTTGTATAGTTACAAGTCAACAATAGTTATTACACACATCTTTTAAAATCAAAATAGTCCCCTAGTCATCATCCCCTTAGGGTTAAAGAATTTGCATCAAGTAATCATGTGGAAATTTAAGGCACAGCCACACATCGCATCACACTTTAAAAATGTTCTGTTAAGTTTTTAGAAACATTTAACAATAGAGGAATGATTTCTCAAATGTGTTTGCAGAATGTAAGCGAAATTACTAATTATATTTATTTATATCTTCTAGGGTTAACGACGATGTGATGCGAAATTGTGAACCGTAATGCAAATTAGCTGGTAGTTATTCATACTCAAACGAGATAGCTATTCATTTACTCTTTGATTTGTCTTTAGGTTTTAATGAGAATGAGGGAAGTTTGAAGCGTCGTTTTTTCTTCTTGTGTTTACCCTGTAAAAATAAAAGATAACATACTGTTAAAAAATCATAATAAATAAAGTTACAGCGTTAAACGGGACGAACGAACACGATTAGGAAATTAACAGTTTCTGGAGATTACAGAACTTGTGAACCGATCTAAGTTATACAATCATTGGAAACCATGAAAAACTACACAGGTGTTTCGTCTTAGTATGAGACTCCTCGTTAATACATATTCATGACTCCATCGAGGGTTGGACACAAGACCACGGCTCGCGGTGAACGCCTAACCTATAAACCAACGAGACTGGCATCCAATGGTAAACATATTTAACGTCAACCAATTTGTGATATAAACCAAATAACTTTTATTGTCTTTGGTGCATAATTACCTCACACTCGACACGTTCGAACTCGTCGTCACAGCTTCTCATTAAAATTCTGGAATTACCTTGTTGAAATTAGTTACTAATGGGGACATGATAATTATCAATATGGGGGTCTGTGAATATTACTGAGATAACTTTCAGTTGCGTAATATGATGGGTATTTAGTTTCTTAAGACATTCGCTGCCTCTTTTTATGATAGATACAATGATCAGAAAATTTTAAACATGTACTAACTATACATTCCGAAACTAGAAATTTATAATTCTTCAAAATTGTTTGAAAGAAAACTAACGTTACTGCATTCGAACACCATGTTGTTGTACAGCATAAGCTATAGATTAATAACAAAGTGTCACACCGTATTTGATTTTACACCTTAATTTTGTTTGTTAGTCAAATGTAGAGTACATTATTATTTACTGGATGTTTAGGGTTAACAGCCTCGTTAAAAACTAATATCGAGATAATAATATAAAACTGAGAATTCATTTCTACAAATCAAACGACTTAAACGATGGGAAATTCTTCAGATAAGTGTTGAATTTACTCGTGTTTCATGTATTGGAATGGTGATTAGACAATTGATCTACTTTCAATACACGGTTTTGAGTTCATTCAGACTGCTTACAGATCTGTTTAGTACTGCAATAAAAATGACAGCTATTCCGTCATTTTCAAACTTTATGTCATCTAGTCGGAAACTCCAAGTCACGAAAAGTGGCTCGATTTTATTTTCAACGATTTGTAGTAGAACATTTTATCGTTATTATATGTGGAATGACAAATATTAACATTTTAAGTCTAAAAAAGTAAAAATAATAGAACGGAAAATTATTGGCACAAAAATTCAAGTAATTCAAGTGTACAAAATCTAACTACCCAAACGAAACAGTGGTAGGTAGGGCTAAAAATAATTAGCTTACATCACTTTCACTCATATCTTCAGTTCCACTCGGTTCCGATGTCAGTGTCCCTGACGTAGGTGGTGGTGCTAAGCGACCTGTAAAAGAGATGCAGATAGGTGATATCCAGCGTCAAAATTAAGTAAAGGAATTTCAATAACCAATAATATTAATAATAACAATAGCGATGGTATTAGTAACATATACGAAAGTGGCAGAGCACTAAATTTAAAAAAAATTATTGTATGAATTTTTTAACCGACCAGTAACTGGACTGTCAATTGGGTACGTCTCCGAATGACGAATCTCTCCAACTCTTGCATTATGTACAGACGGAGATAATTCAGATAATGAATGAATAGCTGAAATCATTTCACCAAGGATAAAATACACACCAATCGGTAGAATATATTATTACCAGCAAAAGAATAAATTTATATTTCCGATTGAACGAACGAACAATGAAGAATTAGAGGGGTTGGGAGAGGAGAATGGCATGCAGGCAAGCAGGTAAACGAGTTAAGAAGAAACAAAGAGAAAAAAAAGTATACCATCAGATCAGTAATACACATATTGAACAATTATTACCAATAGTAAACGTATGCAATAATCTTATTATTATTATATAGATCAATAATGGAAACACGTGCCAGTTAATCAAACAGATTCGTTAAAAATTTTAATCAAATGTGAACCAAATATTAAATAAGTCAATCTTCATGCTAATTTTAAGTCATATATATATATATATATATATATATATATATATATATATATATATATATATATATATATATATATATATAAAGAATTTGTCGTTATAAATAGAAAAGATAAAATAATTAATGAGTGATAATTGAAACTGCTACAAGCATGCACTTATAACACACCACAAAGCTTAAAATCATTCTCGTGTACATATCAAATAAATGAAGTAATAATTTTACTTGGATTTAAATGTTTAACCTAAACAGCTGTCGGGTGGGGGATGACATGTTGGGAAGGGGTTATACAATGATGGCGTGACAATAAACCAAAAAAGAATTCCCCAAACCATTGATGTTTAATGTAAATGTAGGATCAAAATATCAACTTTATCTTTTTATTTAAAAGTCACTATATATAAAGAACACTACATGAAATAAAACAAATCGTTTACATAGTTTACGCTAGGGAAGAAAGAGCGAGATGTAGCGACGAACAGTAATTATTCATATGTTAAGGCTTCTGGCAATTGAATCCTGGGATCAAGTCCCGCGTGCAGGATCGCAGATGTGCACTGCTCAGGAGTCCCATACTAGAACGAAACAGTCGTACACTGTTGTCAAGCTTAGATGGACCCGTGAAGTTAGCTATAAAAACCAACTCATCATGATTAGGATGAATATTGTTGAACAAGATAGCTTTGCTTACATCTTGACAACACATTTGTAAACAAGATATTTTTTATGGAGAAGGGATTATCCGGTCACTTGCAGTGTAGAAAAAAATCATAATTGATTGAATAGGGTAGCAAAAAGAAACATCTACCATTTACTACACCAATTTCATATAGATTCCTAATTATTTTTATTGGTTAAAAAATGGTTTAAATGAAAGAGAATGAATCTTGATAGGAAATCAGTGAATTTTCACATCTTACACATTTCTTCAAGTAATCAATTTGATTGACTGAACGAATAATTTAGAAAAGGCTAAGGACTGATGTTCGCTAAATAAACAAATTTAAGACAGATGTTACTAAATGTTAGAACAATTTAGAGAAGCAAAGAATAAATATATATAAATATTCTGACGCAAAGATTTTTCTGGAATTTATTTTCAGAAATCTGAATGGATTTGATTGCTTAACTTATACTTTTTTATGCAGATTTATGGAAGAAAAACTCGTGCCCCTAAATCTGAAAAGAGAACCAATAAAACAATTACTTGGACCAAGTTCGCTGGCACTTTCAAGATCCGTAGCACCGCTATCGACGGCTAATGAATCTATAAGATGTGTAGTAGAACTAGGAGCTTCAAAAGATGCATTCTGTTCGGTAAGATGATGATCCATCTCGGCAGCTAAATCAGGATTATTTTTAAGTTCAATTTCACGCCGATACATCTCTAACTCTTCATCGGTAATTTTTTCGAATGGATTTTGATGAGAATAAAGACCCTGTGAATACAAAAGAGATGAATTATCACTATGCAATTAGGAGAGATAAAACATTTTATAAACCACTCAAGAAGTAAAATTTAGTTAACTGGCATGCCTTCTAAAATAAAAAATACCTACTAATTTGAAAGAAATCATGGGAAAAAATTTTGCTAATGATATGAAATGACATTTAATCATAACTTATGAATACTGAATACAACAGGGGTGTGTCGTTATATTTTCGGTTAGAATATGATGGACATTTTAAAGCTTACAATACTGATGATTCAAGAGCACACATATCGAGACGTACTTATGTAACGAAATGGACAAATGGTTGAACAGAGGTTACAAATAATTAACTTTTAACAATCAGATGATTATGGGTTTGTATCAGACTGTATCATTCTGGATCTGAATAAGTGCTATCGTTAAATTTTTCTTTATTGTGTTAGTGTTCGTGTCAATAAAAGTGAAAAATGACAGTTGACTTTTTACAAACATTACCAAGCTTTACACAAATGAAAAACGCCAATAATGCCCCCTACTTTTTCTTTGTTTATATTAACTGAATGATCTCATGTTGTTGAGAAGGTCAACTTCGCTAGTTCAAGAGCACAAATCTACGTGAACTACGTGGACACTACTCTAGAATAAATGAATAAAGAATGAAACTTACAGACTTAATAGAAATGAAATCAACGCGCAGAAATAAACAAAATATGTTAATTAGTAACGCACAAACGTAAGTGACAGCTAAACTCGATACAATCAACATATCAAAACAATAAAGTAACATAAAGCTAGTAATATATATATATATATATATATATATATATATATATATATATATATATATATATATATATATATATATATATATATACCGATGTATCATTGACATGGTAATAACCGTTTAACATTCCACTCCAGTTAAAACTGACAGAATGTAGAAAAAGTACACACACACAAATTGCTTACATCATATATCACTGCTGCATTTCGTATATCACGTTGGATAATCGCCTTACTAGCTGCAGCTACAGGCATTTCGCTAGTAACACCACCTGCCACTAAAGCGGCGGCTCTCGGACCTAATACTTTGACTAAACCTTCGTCACGAACTCGTCGAGCTTCATCCCATGTGAGACCATCCAACAGCCGAGATTGAGGTCCAGCAGTATTTGTATCATGATAATACTTCGCCTTGACCTTAATCAAAAAGAAATATATAAATGTTTACTATGATTAGATACTCAGTACTACAATTATCAATGGAAAAACGCTACTATAGATCATAGAGAATATGGGTTTACTGTCCCAGTGCATATTTGACGCTCAAAGGTGATCTATTCAGGATATTATTAATATTTTAGGATAATTCATATAATTTTCATTATAGGGTAGAGAAGTGGTGATAAGCAATTAGAACTGAAACAACTGAAGCCAACACACACTAAGTGTATGACCCATCGAATATAAAATCATCTGTGCTAGACACAAAACCAACAATATTTAAAAATAACCAATCTAACAAGGAAGCAAAATCTTTGATACACCAAGCACATATTATTATTGCTTATTATCAGTCAGTCAGTAACAACGTAGAACTTCGTACGTACGTACATCAGTTCGAGTTATCACACCACATTAGCACAGAGATGCAGTGGTCGATTCAAATCCCGTAGTGGTAGAGGTAATAAAAGTATAAGCAGTAATCGGGAAGATTAGTGTTTGGAGATGTTATTTAAAGAGTAGAATTCAGTGAAATAAATTTAGGAAGAGAAAATAAAGAGACAAGGAGATCAAAATTTGGGAGAACACAAAGAGTGTATGCACCTGAGCCATTGCAAACGATTTTGAGCCATGTCATTCAGGGTCTCTAATCATCGGTTGCTATCATCTCGCGGTCCCCAACCAGGTAGTCTACACCTACCGACATGACTCAGACCACTTGTCAGTGACTTCATGGACTTGTGCCATGTTTTGGTTTGGCCGCCCCTAGCTTTCTTCCAATCTACTCTTATACCACTGAACATCGCACGTCGATTGCTTATTATACTCTTGCTTCTACCTACCTAGCGAATAATTAACTAAAGTTGACAAGATTATTGTGGTTTAGACGGATACTTTTTTGTGTGTAAACCTTTTTTGTTACATTCTTAATTATGAATACTTTTGTCATAGCTTCTCTACCAAATATAATTTGATACATTCAGTACTGTATGTGTACATAATTCCGAAGTCTCATGACAAAAACATGTTTGTTTTAAGGAGTATTTGTCATTTTCCTGTTTCAACTTGTGCACAAACACATTTGGTACATTTGATTTATACTCATTAGTCAGTGCGAGAGTTAATATTACCACCAATACATAAAGAAATATTGTACTGGAATAATGGATAAAGCTGGATTAAAATATTAATTATGAATAGAATTATTGCATATCATTTTAAACTATTAATCTCAGGATTCTACCACTTGACCTGTAAGCTATGTTTATTGAATGAGTCCTACTTTTATTCTGATTCCAGCATATAAATCATTATTAATTTCAGTTGTTAGTACATAGACAAAGCAAAAAATTAAACCAATAATTAATGTAGTGCGAAAATCAACAGAAATGTGTTTCTTTATTCACACTGTAGCTGAACATCATCAGTTGAGTTACGTCTAGTTGTTGACGTTTAACATATATTGTACATGGTAATCGAAGTAAATGAATAAATGAATTTCGAATTGAACTGATTAACAAAAATCAGCTTATTATTGTATGTCCAACGCCCAATAAACAGTTCATCATCACCGGATTAATTATTTTCAGGACATATTTCAAAAATAGATTCATCAGTTGGACGTAAAGATATGTAATAACCAAAAAATAAAACCCCAAAACTCAAATAGATACCATTATGTGCAAAATGGAGATACTTTAAAAGTCCATACAACTTACTTTCTTTTGCTGCTCGCGATATTCTTTTGGATTAGAACCTTGAGGAGCAAATACATTGTAGGGTGACATGACTGACGAAGTCCCCGTTGCCGGTCCACCAGTTGAACCAAGTGGTACTGCTCCATGAGTTAAAGGATGGAATGGTGCCGGAGGAGGTAGAGCACCATTACAAACAGCATTATGAACAGCTGCTTCACGTTCACAAACCCAATGCGGAACTGGTTGATGGCCTGGAGCAGGTTCAATTATTTCTTTAGTGTATTTGTTTGGTGTGTTAAACCATTGCTTCTCCGAAAACTCGCGCCTAAGAGTTCTGAAATAAATTTAAATATTTAATGTTGTTACTAAGTTATTATATACTCTATATAACCAACCTTAAAAAACTATCGTAAAAATTTTACAATACTATTTTCTGTCCAATCAGTGGTCTTGAGTGCTGTTAGAGGTATGAGGGCGGTTTTCACTTCTCGGTTGCCCACACTGTGGAAGGGTTCTCCTGGGGGTGCCTGAAAAGGAAATTGGATTAGAGGTGAACTTAGTGACCTGAGAGCGTGACCGCAGCACCTATGGGACAACTGTTTGAGGTCGGTCACACACAACCTTTTTATGAGTAATTTTTGTGTTAGCTCAGTAATTGTTGAGACCTTACCGCCGATGGATATCCGTGGGGTAAGGCGAGAGGTGCATTTTTAGGGTCGCCCTATTCTAACTCCTTCCCTCCTTGTGGGAAGGCAGCATCGCTGTCATGCTGACTGTCTGAAGGAAACACCTTACTGATGTCACACCTCTGTACAGTCAGCAGAACGAGTTCTCCTTGGGTTTGCTGCTTTTAGTCTTACCGCTCTTCAACCGACCTATGTGGCATGGTAGGACCTTGAGGAACGGTTGTTCCAGCCAGTATAGCTCGATTGGATCATCATGATAGGCAAGCCGATCACCATATCAAGGTAGCAACACGGTCGGGTCTGTCCACTCAAGTGTAAGTTATAAATTGGGACATGGGTATGTATGTGACTTGATTCTGGTGTTTTGGCAAAGATAAGCCTTCGCAATCTCAGCTGTTTAAGGTCGATAACTTTGTGTAGTTTATTTATTACATAGGAACCATTTGCTGACAAATGTCGATAAGTTAGTAGCAATCGAACACTAACAACTCAGATCATTCGGCTTTGGCAGTTTTATTTCAATAATAGTGCATAAATGAACACAGTTGCACAAACACATTCGTTAAGCAGTAGAGCTAGACATAATCTAACTGAATATCAACATAAAAATTAAACGAGATTCCTTTACGCAACAACTGAAAAAATTAAAAGAATGTTCACCTTATCTAGAGTTGTGAGAAGAGAAATGAAAGATCAAGTGACAGAAATTTGAAGATATACTGTTGTCTAAAGACACTAAGTAATGATTACAGAAAACGGTAGAATTAGGTAATACAGATAGATATTAGTGTATTTACTGTGATATCGATTGTCCTCAACATCTGTGAATTGCCAACATGAGATAAGGCTACAGGTTGTATCGATGAATGTTATCAAATGAATTGGAAAAGTGAGGTATCAGAGACGATAACTAAACTTACGATGGTCTAGGTGTTTCCGTTTCATCGCCCGAAAGAACTCCGTCATCATAATAATAAGCCATTGTAGCAGTTACAGACGAAGCAGATGGTGGAACTTGTATATCATCGTCCTGACGACCAGCCCCACCGTGCCCATTCACGACTTTACTTCTTCGTGATCGATGTGGGCTCGCCATAGCCTCCTAGAAATAATATGTTGAAAAATAGTCCACAAAATGTTCATAAGCCGGTATTAATTAAATAGATCAGAGGTTATCGCATAATTATAATAGAAATAGCATAAACTGGAGGTTTAAGTCTCATAATTTATGGTCGACAAAATAACCTAATTGCCAAAATGGAATTACATCTGTCATTATATGTAGTTCCGTAATTAATTATCGACGTTTTCGAGTATCTGAAGTATGATGGGAGTGTATGGCAATTAACCTAAGAACACTTTCGAATTGCGGTAGGTCCAAATAGGTACAGTCACACGACTAATACTGGTTATTGTTGATAGTAAATGATAACGTTTCGGATGAGAGCAAACTGGAAAAGCTTGACCTGAACCGAGTAAAGATAAAACAGTATTCCATGAGGTCATTGACAACTAATTTGGCGAATGTAAAATGATAGATTTACTAAAGTTCGCGAATCAACAGGTTATTGATTGAAGCTATTAAGTGAAATGACTGAATATCTGTTGCAAATTTGCCGATGCGCTCACTTGTTATCTTGTGATAAGTATTATTACTCTATCGTTTCCCGTTTTACTTCGAAATTTTTTTACTTCTTGATTATTTACCAGTTTTATTTTGATGCAATGCAATTTAAATGGACTATGTTTTAGCCAGTACGTAACATTTTTACCGATAAATATGTTCTTTTTGGTGCGAGAACACTTGTCAGACTTGGCTACTTAGAAATGTGCTGCAGTAAAACTCATATAAACTACTCTAATATCTAAACTCGCCTATGCTGCTAACTGCTGTAGTAAGTTGTCTAAGAACACTTAGATTCAGTAGTAGATCTGACAACTTCAATGTCTATGTCAGTTATAATGTAGAGTCTGGGACAAATGTGCGTTTGCCCTAGTTACTATACCCCAGTATCTGCAACAAGATGTTATGAATAGAACAATTCAGTCAGCTGAGTTATTCGTAGCAATGAGTAGCGATTCAAACTATTAAAACTTGACACAAAGTTAGTGATGTGAAATATTAGGCATAAGAAATTCCTCGGGATTAGGTTAGGATAAATTTATACCACTTTATAGGTTCTAAAATACTATTGTTGGCTATATCTGACTACTAATTACTAATACGATAACAACCCTATCTACATTGCATTATATCCCTAATATGAGATTCGCAGATGATACTAACGGAAAGGGGGTGATAATTAGATAGCTAAAACAATGACTACATTATAGGCACATAGCAATTAATGCAAACATGAACGTAAAACTTGTTGATACCAAAGTCGGATAGTTATAGATAAAGGAGGCATTAAACATGAAATTTTCTGAACGCTAGTTTTACTCATTTACAAGTTCTGTGACTTTGTTACCCATCAACAGATCAAAAAGCCATGTGACAGTACAATCATACATGTCCTGATTTGAATAAACTTCCGATCACCTTGAGTTACACTTATTAAATTCAAATACCATAAAGGAAAATTACGCTAAAAGAACAATAGAGAATAAATAATTAGTGGGAAAAGTTTGACAATCATGTGAGTTGATAAATTTTCATTAGATTCAGAATTAGTGGGAGTATCTTATTCCCAATTAACAGATATTACATGAAACAAAATTAACATTACCTGCCGATAAAGATGGCCTGTACGACACCCAGCGTTATCTAAATGACGCATCATAGCTTCGAATTCAAGTTCACCTAAGCGCCATGGTCTGGCCGAATTACTTTCCACATTTGAACCATCTGAGATGAAACCATTTGTTACTGAATGTTGTCCTGCTTCACTAGTACTAGATTTATTAGGCGAAGATAGTCGCATAGCTAGTGCAGCTTCTGGACCACTAAGACCGCCTAATCCAGCTGTACGCCATGTTTCATAAGTTTTTTGCTTTAGTTTGTCTGTAGGGAGAATGAGATTTTCGGCACTGACTGAGGCCAATAAGAGCTAAAACGTACACAATAGTTGTTTTTAGCGATAATGAATAAATGAGACTAAATTGATGATATTATAATCTCACTTAGATCAACATGCAATATGAATGTTTCAATATTGTACAAACTGAACTTACTGCATGTTGAAAGGCTTTTTTCACTGAGTAGTGAATTTACAGGAAATAAGACGTGAAATAACAGAACTTCGCACTATGAAACGAGTAGTGTGCCCAGAATATAATGAGTCAAAACGGATAATTGTAATACCAATTATCACATAAGGTGATAAAAACAATGTTATAAACAAGAATTTGTGTTTTATAATTTGCAAATGTTATCTAGAGTTAATACAAATGTCGTTAAAAGTTAACCAGCAATTAAGCCAGTGACCTTAAAAAGTACATTTGGCAACCTTGACTTCTTAATTTAAAAAGGTCACACCAAAGCTCTTATGTTTACTGAAAAGCTATCCACCAAAACTCATGTGAAAGATGTGGGAGGTGGATATTAGCTATTGTGTGAAGAGGAATGAGTTTCTTACTGAATACATACAAATCAGTAACTATATACATGTTTGTGAGCTAGTCCATGAAGTTACGCAACGCCTGAAACAAACATTTTGTTGAATATTGGTACATTGCAGACTTTATTCGGAGTAACTAACATTTGAATATGTATCCAACAATTCCGTGACTCTACTGTTAGGAAGAAGAGTTTAAAAAGTCAACCTTAAACGTGAAAATGCCCACATAGATTCACCTTATTTAAATGTTTTAACTTAAATCCCCTTGAAATTTATCAGAAAAATACCTAGAGTTGAAATTGTTGAGAAAGCTTTGAAGAGTACGACGAAGACTCTACAGGCTTTAAAGGAGTCGAAGAGATTACATCCAATCAGAACCTGATAGAGCTTTCTAGAATATCAACGTGGCATGCTACGATTGGACGGTAGTACAACTTGCCTCCTTGAGAATTGGCTGAATTATAATGATGTTATAGCCAATACCAATAGCTATAAATACTTGTCTTTTGTACATTTTTGATTCTTATCTAATAATCACTCCCCTTGCTTCTTCCGTCTTCTGATTTGCGACGGTAGGGTTCTACATGTTAGTTGTATATCGTATTATGCCGTAATCAAGTAGAGGACGTGATAAAAATAAAGTATGAAGTGGTTTTAATTAATTGATTTTTATCGAGGAGATTCAAGTTTTTAGAATCTCCATGAGAATAAAATAATAATAACCGCTATTCCACTATGATAAAGACAAAAAGGTTTTTTGAACTACAATAGGTAAGCGTATTTGATGAGTCTATTATAGCATATTGACTAGAAGAGCATCTGCACACAAATAGAATCTATAAAAATGCTTGCCTGAGTATCACATGCAACTATTGCATTAGTTGCATAATGCCATGCCTCCTCGATCGTTTCACCTAAGGCAAGTAATCCAAGACTTCGAAGAAATAATATGCGAGCAGTTGGACCTAAAGCTTCACTGACTGTCGCACATTCAGCTGCCCAATCCTTAATATCACCGAAATCTCCGTTAGCGTCAGCGTTGGTTCTACAGCTTAATCCACCGCTAGGAGTATAATAAGCCACTTCGCCCAAAATCATTGCTTCATTACAAAGAGGCAACAAACCCGATTTCATGCAAGATATCTAGAGAAAGTACAAGGATTCATAACATTTAATATAATGAGGTTGTATAATAAAATTATGGTTTAGGTAATTCATTTAGTATTGAGAAAGCAGTTGTGGATTAATTTCGAAACATGATTCTTAACTCTTTCTGAATACAGTTTATTTCTGTGTTTGATGATAGACAAATATATCTAGGTTTACAATATGCTCACTAATAAACTGAGTAGAAATATTTTGAGGGTCTTCTCAATCTCTTGAGAGTAATGAGTCAAGTATTTTAAATAATATACATCAGAATCAAAGTTAAAACGCACAAACCAACTTGTCTACTGTCTAGTGACAACAAAAGCTTATTTTATATTTCTATGTATAAACATTTAAGAGGATTGGGAAACAATACCAATTTTTGAAGTTTTGTTATTTCCCTTGAATTAAACGTGGTTGAAATACTAATTATTTACCAACGAACACAATGTAGTGTATGCCTGTTATAGAGTCAGTTTTCCGATTTGATTATTAAAACCGATTAATGGAATGCTAATCGATGGATGATCGCAATGATAGGACCAAGTGATGGCTACTCATGGGACTGTGTAGTGAACTCAGGCCCCCGTAATGGTTAGAAATCAAAGACAACTGGCCAGATGAATGGTTTTTAATCTAATACATAACAAGCTTAGGTACAAAATATGAACATAAACTAAACACAACAAAATGTCATAGGCTCTTGAAGGAAATTAACTTGTAGGTCACTCATTCTCCGATCAATTATGACCTGACTGTCAGGCCTAATCTTTGGGCATTGTATCAAAACCGTAGTAGCTAAAGGTTACAAAATCCCTTAGTCCTTATTAAAAGTAATTACATTAAAAAAGAAACACCAAAACTGGATAATAAATGTGAACACTAGTCTATGATCTTCAGCGAATAACAAAACCTCTTAAAATAAGCCAAAGACTAGATTGTTAGAACAGTAAAATTTGTTTGTCATTCAATGTACTAACAAATAAACTTTAAAATACAGTCCTTACTGCAACAGTAGAAGGGGTATCCAAGTGTATAATGCATCGGATATCAGCCCGAGCTGAATGAACAGCTGAATGTAAGGCCCAGGTTACTTGATTTACACCTAAAATGGTAGATCCTGGATCAAGTATCTGGCCTGTGAAATGAAAAAAATAATTACGTAAGGTTACGTATAAGCCAAAATGATTATTAGTTTACTGAAAGCGCGAAATGCAAGAAATCATTTTGTGTCGTTTATATTATTTAAGTACATAAACATCGATACAAGAGGGCACCAAAAACATAACAATAAGGTTGTGAAGGGATAGAGAAGGTAATGTGTGTATAAGAAAAAAGAAAAACAACAATGAACAGAAATTAGTATATGCGAGTGAAATAATAATAACGAGACAGTTCAGTCAATGAAAATACAACCAGAAAGAATTCTCTCAGTTAGAGAACTTACGTTCACTTGTATGAAAAAAGTAACAGTTACAGAGAGATCGCCACTGGCTTTTATTCTGAGTCATTTCTGTGAACGTTTCTGTCGACTGTGTTGAACCATTTTTGAGACCCCAACTACGGAGTTGTGAAGGATCAAAAGAAACCAGTCCTGTACAGCTTTCTTTCATGCTATGACGCTGTCATACACTGACCACATCTCTTTTTACAATCGGTCCCAGCGTCGGCAAATGATGCACGATGTAGAATTAGCTGGGACGACATTCATGAGACCTGTCCAAGCCACCAAAGTCGGTGTTTTGAAATGGTGAAACCAATTAAATTATCGTCGCTGTGTCTAAACACACGTTGCCGAACCTCTGCATTACTAACATGGTGATGCCACTGGATGTCAGTTATCCTTCGGAGGCAACAATGACCAAACACAGTTGTCTAACATCCTCAACTCGGAGGCCGAATTTCACGAGCATAGAGCAAAACTCTCACAAATGCGTGGTAGATCCGATCTTTTACAATCAGAATAATATTATGAAGGCACCGAAGATGGACCAGGTTAGCATAAGCTGGTCTGACTTTCATTGTACGTGAATTGATCTCATCACTCATGCCACAAGCGTTTACGCAGCTACCCAGATACATGAATTTATCGACTTCTATGTGATCACCACCCAGGGTGAGTGCAGGATCAGGGTCCTACCAGTCTTACAAAATTACTATACACCTATAAAGTTCAAAGTATATACTATACCTACGGAAACTGATTTCTAACTGATTGTGTGGGTTGCATGGTTTGAGTATCATCGCACAGCAAGGCAAAATCATCTGCATGTTCGCGGTCGAAGTCTTTCCCCAGGTATCAGATCCACACTACCATTACCTATTTACATAATAACTGTTCACTAAACATCATTAATAAAAGTCTTGAAAAGGAATAGTGAGACTGGGAAACCCTATGTAACCCCACTGCCTGATGAAGTAAAAGAGAAAGGTAGTTATTGATCCTTCACTCTGCCTGAGGTATTTGTATTATGGGGCATTCAAGCTACTGATAAACTCAGGAACACTTTCGATAAGCAACCTTGGAGAAGTCCTGCCCAACAAATCGACAGCGGCCCTAATGTCAAGAAACAACAATTGTTGACCTGGAATCAGTATGGCGGTGTTCTAGCATTTGTCGAGGGGTGACTATATGGATCAATACATCCTCGACCAAAACGAAAACCAGCCTGTTCCTCACGGGTCATTCTTTCCCGGGTTTTGAACAATCTACGAAGTATGAGGAAAGCCAATAGTTTGGACGCGATCGGAAGTAGACCTATCCCCAGATATTTGTTGCAGAAACGATGCGAACCTTTTTTAAAGATAGGAACAACTATGGGCTCATTCCACGATGTTGGAACACTAACTGCCAAAATGTTCTAAACAATTCAGTTCATTCCTTAACCAGAAAGTCACTACCATATTTAAAAAGGGCCAGAGGTAATTCAAATGGACCTGGTGATTTGTAGTGCTTCAAGAGTTGGAGTTCCTTGAAGAATCTAGCCGCGTTAAGTGGATCAGTCGTCACAGGCCATGGAGGTCATGACAAACTGATCGGTCGCCGGGGCAGCAAATCAGTTGAACTGCTGTTCAGAAAACTCTGCTTACTGTCTAAGACGTCGGTAGATGTTATTAACTGGCATCCCATCAGCTTCACAGATTATTTTACACACCAGACTTTTTGCTTTCAGTGATTTGGATAAGTTGAAAGAGCTCCTGGCAGTTACTGGGAGAAGCTGTTGTTTCCAACTCGTTAGCACACTCCGATAGCAAGGTTTCTCGGTCCTTACACAAGCTTTGCAAATCTTTGTATCGTTTAATAACTTATATATTCCATGAACTCCTGAGCTCCCAGTAAGCTTTCCATTTCAATCACATCCATTCACATCACCAGTCTCTTAAACGACTTACTCCCGATCACATCGACAAGGTCTGGGTTACCGGAAACTAAACGTAAAATCTCATTAGTATGGAAAAGTCAAAACAACAGGGATTAAAGTTTATGTATGTCTATCTAAAGCAGTAATTATAATCAAAAATTCCAGAAAACCAAGGTATGATTGTGAACTCACTACCATTCCACTACCCAAATAGTGACACTGAGTTGAATAAAGCAAATAGTAATCAAACTACAACATGTACATACTGACCAGGCTTTTTGCAGGAATCATCATGTATGTCAGAATGCTTAAAACTGACTAATTCTATTCGCTTGATATTGAGCTACTAGACTTAAAAGTACATAGTTTTCATTTGTGGTATTTTCCAGCATACTTCGGCTTTCTCAAACAACTGAAGAAATCATAGATTTATAGGTAGTTCATTTTGCTGAGTTCTTGTTAAATAATAATGAGCGTTTAGTTATTTAATGTTTAGTTACACTATTTAAGGTAGCGAATGGAAAATCAAAAAGACCAGTGCTTTGAATTTTACCAATCATATGAAAAATCGTTAGAAACCTGTTATAATCTCTTTCTTACTGTTAAGACCGAGCTATTCCTATTGCTTAGTATTCTCGGACACCGATTCACTCGACAAGTCCCCAAATCAGAACACGGTTGAACAGGAAAGAGATCATATTCCAAATAACAAGATTAGATGGAAGCAAGAAGTCAGTAGGAAGCACAATAGAGAAAACGTCAGTATATTTATAGTTTTTACATGAGAAGATTCTAGAGTATTATCCAACTATCGACTAGTGCTGATTGGATAAGAATTAGCCAATCAGCGTGCACCAAAGCAATCATGCATTGAGCATGCTTTAATCCAGCTTATGTCCCGCTAACACCTCCCCTTTGAGCAGATTCGTAGGATCTGGTGCTAGGGTCCAACCGCAACTGAGTGACTGGCTTGTGCTTTCGATTAGTCCATCGTCTAGGCAATAAAGAATCATCACTTTTTTCTTGCACAGAGACTGACATGTCTTTTCCCAGCGTTTTGATTTTTCTTTAAAAAAAGTATGCATAACTTTTAATTCTCCAACATTCTCCTCCTCCGCGAAACAATATCGGATCCTTATATTTCCAAGTTACAAATAATAGGACTTTATTTAAACCACGTTTCTCGCATTGAATGTCGGATCCACTAGAAACGACTAGATGATAATGAACGACCTTTGATCTGAGGTCAAAGTTTAATTCTTCTGAAGCATTACTTTCAAATCCATTACGAATTTCATCAGTGGATAATGGATCATTACGGAACTTATCATCTAACAAAATTAAATTAGACTTTTGACTATAATTTGACTTAGTCGATATATTTTCCTCATTTTTATAAAAAATTTCATCAAAATTACATGCATTATTCTGAGAACCCATAACTGATATATTGTCATCAGAAATCGGATAAGCTGATTTAATATAAATTTCTGTCTCACAATGATTTTGAGTAACATTCGGTATAATTGGGTTCATCGTGTCACTGCAGTTATTTTCTGAATACGAGTCGCCATAGCTTTCTCGACTAATATCACGTGGACCATAATTTTGTTCTGGCTGAAATTTATTTTCAGAGCTAGACAGGACCAGTAGTGCTTCATTCAATTCTGAACTCCGGGCTTCATCTTCAGGGTCTGGCTCTTGATCATCTCGTATTGCCACAACTTTATGAGCATTCGGCACAGGATTTTCTTGCTGTGAGCCGGAAACGTTACAAATATTACGTTCTGATTCAGGTATAAAGGGATTTGAACCATCCACTAGATATGCTTCTGAAATGTCTGTTACTGCATCATAAACAGATCTCTTATTTTCTGGTCGAGTGAACAGTGTGCTCAATAGTTGTTGTTGCAAGGCTAACAACTGCTGGTGCTGTAATATTAACCGCAACTGTTCTAAAGAAATCGCTATTTTTATTTAGTTTTTCCCCGTCGCCACTGTTATAATCTCTTTCTTACTGTTAAGACCGAGCTATTCCTATTGCTTAGTATTCTCGGACACCGATTCACTCGACAAGTCCCCAAATCAGAACACGGTTGAACAGGAAAGAGATCATATTCCAAATAACAAGATTAGATGGAAGCAAGAAGTCAGTAGGAAGCACAATAGAGAAAACGTCAGTATATTTATAGTTTTTACATGAGAAGATTCTAGAGTATTATCCAACTATCGACTAGTGCTGATTGGATAAGAATTAGCCAATCAGCGTGCACCAAAGCAATCATGCATTGAGCATGCTTTAATCCAGCTTATGTCCCGCTAACAAAACCGTTTAGCAATATTTACTAAATGGAAATTCATTAGAATTCAGTGATCAAAGGAGAAAGTTCCTAGGGCATAGTCGGAATAGAAACATCCAAAAAATTCAGATTAAGTGACGTTCACAATCATACTACCGTAGCTCACCTTTGGAATCGACCTTGATAAGAGACGAAGCAGTAATTTCATGATAAAGCAATCCGAAAGGATTAACCAAATAATGTTCATGATTGCGACTAACACACACCTAAAATAAATAAAAGGGAAATAATAAGAAATGTTTCTCAAAAGACCCAGCAAAATATAACTCACATCTATGGTAGGACTCAGGAATTCAATGAATAAAACTATGTTTAAGCATAAGTTTGTAACTCAGAGACTCTTTGTTGCGGTTGCTTAGAAAATAGTAGTAGTATTATTATTTAAGCCACAAATTTCGCAAACTAGACTCCGCTGATACTTTATGAAAAGATTAAAAATAGTCCATTGGCGATAGTATCTGGCTTGTTATGAGTACTAGAAGTGGTGCGACAGATGAGATTAATCTTCATGTATCAAAGCAAAAGCGCTTTATACACTTTTGTGTTACCTTTAGCCCCGTTCTTCCAATAGTCTGACTAGAGAAAGTCGGAGGTACAACACTTATTGTATCTAGTCTAATATTACACTTTCAAACCTGGCCACTTCATACTGAAGGTATTCTAAGTCTCTTTAAGTTCGACTACATCGATACAGCATTTGGTAGTAATATTGCGTGAATAATACTGATGAGAATGTCATTTTGAGAAAGAAGGTTATTATTCAGACACCGTTTAGGAACACTAAACTAGGTGGTTTTGAAACACCTTGACATATGACATCACAAAGACCTACATACCTAACGTTATATCCAGTCAGTCAGTCAGTAACAACGTAGAACTTAGTACGTACGTACATCAGTTCGAGTTGCCATACCACATTAGCACAGAGATGCAGTGGTCGATTCAAATCCCGTAGTGGTAGAGGTAGCAAGAGTATAAGCAGTAATCGGGAGGATTAGGGTTTGGAGATGTTATTTAACGAGTATAATCCAGTGAAATAAATTTGGAAAGAGGAAAAAAAAGGGGCATGAAGAATTCAGATAATTAGAATTTGGGAGAACATAGAGAGTGGATGCACCTGCGCCATTGCAATCGATTTTGAGCCATGTCAATCAAGGTCTCTAACCATCGGTTGCTATCATCTCGCGGTCCCCAACCAGGTAGTCTACACCTACCAACATGACTCAGTCCACTTGTCAGTGACTTCATGGATTTGTGCCATGTTTTGGTCTGGCCGCCCCTAGCTTTCTTCCAACCTACTCCTATACCACTGAATATAGCACGTCGAGGTAGTCGGTGGTTGGGCATACGTAACACGTGTCCCAGCCATCTCAACTGATGAAGTTTCACTACTTCATCAATTGATTTGCCATCCTTACCTAGTACCCGTTTCCTAACAGCTGCGTTACTTACTCGGTGGTCCCAGGATATACGAGCAATACTTCGAAGACACCTATGATCAAATACTAGTAACCTACGAATATCCTCTACTCTTACCGGCCATGTTTCACAGCCATAAAGTAGGACGGAACGAACTGCTGCGTAGTAAACACGTCCTTTGGTTGGTAGACGGATATCTCGCCTACGCCATAAATGACGCAAGTTGGCAAAAGCTAGTCGAGCCTTCTGTATCCGTGCTGAGATTTCGTCACACACCAGACCACAAGGGCTGATGAGACTTCCAAGATAAGTGAAGCGGTCGACACACTCAACTACTTCACTCCCTATCAACGTTATATACTACCGCTGGCATTGGAAGGAGTCGGGGATTAATCAGATTGTGGTGGAGTAGCAAAACAGCTCCGGATGTTTTAAAGGTCGTGCAATTTTCTGCTATTAGATATGACTTGAAATAGTATAAAGGATCAGTTTTAAAGATACACTACTGTGCTTTATTTTCTTCAGTAGTCTACATTAAACACCTACATTTCAATTTAACTAAAATCGATTCCCAAGTCTTTTGATCTACGAACATCACTATTACATTTTATCTCAATAAAGAACTAGCCTACTTAAGTAAATAAAGCAAATAAATAAAAGAAAAATTTTAGAATGTTACTCGGTTTGAACAACTTCGACGACAAAACTATTGGAAGATATAGAGTTACGATGAGTTATAGTGAGAATAGGTTTAGAATGTGTGAACATATGGTAGACGTTAATGTGCCTAGAACCTCTATTTCTGCTCCGAATAAAAGTTACTTACAGTCACATGATTGTATATACTCGAATTCCATCCGAAAAGATCTATTAAGCGATATACCGATGCTAGTTTGCAACGGAGAGAACGTTCACGTCGAGAATAAACAGTCGCGTCACCACCACGCAAGTCATTTATCGGAATAACACCATTACGATGCCCTGTATAAATTTAAGTTACATGAAAAATAAGAGTAATCTATAAACTAAATATATCTAAGGAAGCAAAATGTAAGCACATACCACGTAACTAAGTAACAACAGAATCCTTTGAATTTAGAAAAAAAGATGAATTACTTGGTCAAATAAAGTAAACTAAGGTCTGTTTATCATGTTGCACATAAATCTGGAGAGAATGTAAAACGGACTTTTATTCGTTTATACAATTTGCGGTACCTCACATCAGCACAGCGTAAAGAAAATACTAAGATTAAAAGTGGAACATTGCAAATGATCATAGTGCGAAACTAAACATAGTTAAAGTGGATTGGACCATCCTGTTGTTGATGTTTGATTGAATTTTGATCAATCTTGGTTGGCATCTTGTGCGGATTGCATTGATGTACTCATCATCACACTAGTACAGAATAGATGAAGCGTGATTAGTGTAACCCAAGACTGTTATGTGAACATGAGAACTCCAGTGAGGTAGCAGGTTTGAATCTCTTTAAAATACATTTAGATTTGAGTAGATCCTTAATGTATGTAATCATTAAATGTAGTGATCATGCTTAAGGTCTAAACCGGAGGGGAATTAGTCAACTTAGAAATTAAAAGTTTAGTGACCAGGAATCTAGTGCGAAATTTAAAGTTTGCTGCAATTTTACGCTGAAATATGTTAACTTGTTTCTTTTGTTATTCCAAATTTTATGCAGTATGTAGAAGTATAAGAAGCACTTTGGAACCAGGGATTAAGGTGTTTCAATAAGTGAATGCTTTTAGATATTCAGATTTCAAAACTCAAGAAATCGCGAAAATTTTTGAGTCTTAAAGTCTAACAGTATCGAAAAAAGGGTCGAAAAATATTAAAACCTGTGAAGAATAGGGTAGAAACATGACGCAGAAAGATACAAGACAGTTGCATCTAGAAGCATTTAGGAAATACGTTTAAGTAGGTACTGAAGTACTTTATTTACTCAGTTATGATAGTAAGTATTACAAGTGTATTTACTCCACAGGTGTTACTTTTTTCACCTATTTTTCAAGTGAAATCATCCACAAAGCCTGTTGCCAGCATTGAAAACGTTTACCAATGAAGATTTATGTATCGGTATTTAAACATCGTCAGAATTTGTGAGCGAAGACAGCAGCAAAAATAGAATTCTGGTACCAATACATCAAATATTTAACGAGGTAAGACGTCATTACTAAAAGGCGTATGTGATTGGAAGTTACCTCTAGGGTGAGACTAGAATTTATGGACGGCCGTTGAGCAACGCTGAAGTGACTTTAAGAGTGTCCACCTAATAACCAAGACCAAAGGAGAGTTATAAATCAGTTTCACGAGTTAGAATTATAACTTGCAGCTGATGGTTAAGGTTAGGAATTCGATTTAGGATTTTCATTACGAAGTGACATCAGCTATAATGCCAAAACTCAATTTATCCAAACGGATGAGTGAATTTCATGCCAAAATCCGAGATCTGTTGTCTTATACCTTATTGGTTCGTCCATAAATTAGTCTCGCCACCTATAGACATACTATTTGATCTGGGAACCTGAAAAAATAAACGATTCACTAAGAAAGCAAATTATACACTGGAAGTTCTTGCTGAGAGGCAACTTCCCTGATGATATTCTGGCAAATCGCGTTAAAAACATTAAGATGTCTTAAATCTGACTAATTTTCTCTCATAAGGACTCAAAAGCTTATAACCAGCAATTTGCTCATAAAGAAATAAAAAGCTCTTGCCGACCTTAAAGAGACGATATTCAACATAGTCATATAATAATAGGTTTTGGTTATTTCAAACTTTTATTCCAAAGTCACTGATGGTATACTGAACAGCTCGATAATGGACTGTAAAACTAAGTTCGAGAAGTGAAATTTGGAAGGTTAGTTTAAAAGACCGATATCATATGTACAGATTGGTTAGACATAAAGGAATAATATCACATATGGCTTCTCGAGAATAACGGTTAACAATGTGCGACATTATTTTGATCAACTCAGAGATTGCACGGGATTGCTGGAATAGCATATTATGAGAATTATATACACGCAAGAAAAAACGTTGACCTGCCTCTTGAAAACCCACCCCCACCAAGAGGTTTTCCAGAAGGGGCAGAATTGAATAGATCTGATATGTGTTGCAGAGACAGAAGACTAGTGCTCATACCAGGATAGTCACCAGATTGACACTGAGAACGTATAACCTCCTCCAGTTCTCGTCGGAAAGCATCTGACTTCAATATGCCGGAAACGCGCTGTCGTTGAATCATCAGATTTACATCTTCTTTTATGCAGGCAGGGCGCATTAAACTTTTCTGATACTCTGGATCCTCAGGATCTAAAGCAAGCTAGATAGATGCTAACTAACTGACCGATTTTATCGATAAACTTGTCTGGTTTATCTGACAACACGACCCCCTTAGCAACATTGCTGTCCGGCATTTTAATTAGCAGGATACAATCAAGTGTTACCGACACTAGGACAGTTAACCACACAATGTCCAAAGCCCAACAGCCTTAAGCAACCCGCCGAAAATGTAAGGCGCCATACAACTTACAATAGAAAGATCAAACAATTATGACTAACGGGTTTATTTACAATCAAATAGGATGAAATAGAAGTATGTAACCACTTTAAACTAACGCTTCAGTCATCAGACGTTATTATCAGATGCACTTAGTAACATACAAGCATTACATATAGACGAATCTGATAAAACAAGGAAGTTTTGAGGAAATGGATGCTCTTTATCACTGAAAGAAGTACAATGTATTACTTGGATTTCATTATTTTATGTGTTTCCTTCTTCCCCCCTTGGAAATATGTGGTTTCGTAAGTATTCAAAAAAAATCATATCCTGGAGTATCCCAGTAGCCCAATCTTCATATTTTCGTGATTGTTATAGCATGATGAGCCAGTGTAGACAGCGATTTGACTTCCATGTAAGATTTTATAGATTAGCCAATTACATTATGACAAATCTACAATTTTAGGATCAGGTCTATTATTAGAGCATTACTAATAACGAAATAGACCACATTTCTACGTTGGTAAGCCCGACTAAAGAAACGCAGCCTTATATAATTCCTTATTTTAACTCTAATGTTTTCGGTCGGTTATTTACATGTTAATCTACTACTCTATCAGTCCTCTGATCAATGCTCACATGTATTATTGTAATGTCATATTGGTTAGTACTCATAACTTACTGATACAATCGATACTAATAACTGATCATGTATACTAATCTGTGTCAAAAAAATTTCAAATAATTTCGTGAAAGTTGGAGGAGTTTCCTTAAATTCATATAGAAGTTCACAAATTTTCCCTAACTTTTGAAGAACAGACCCAAATTAAAGAGAATGGAAGGAATTTCCTCTAATCCAGTCGGAATTTTGAGATCCGAAACCGGTGCACCCTGATTGTGCGAATGATAATACAAGCCTTGGTGTAATTCAAAAAAGGTATACATAGTGCGTCAAGATGAAGGACACTGAACAAAAAGATAGGTATACAGACACACAACCAAGCACGAGATTCATAGATGGAGAGTTATAAGAACATAAGTATAAGAAACATATGTACTGAGGGTCACAGTAACCTATGGCAAGAATGGTGTTGTTAGTAAAGTAAAAAAATATGTAATAGTCACGTGCTTTCTGGGTTATTAGGATCTGTTCATAAGGTAGGGTCAGTGACATAGTTACACAACAGCATAGAAGCTTCTAAATCGATATTATTCTGGAAGCCATGTAAGCACTACCTAGTTAGTGAAAATTATTTGAGAACGTCTTTGGGCCTTAAGAAATGTTGTGGCCATTAAAAGGAGGGAGAACTCTTATCCGTTACCCAAAAATAAATGGCAGATGGCTAAATATAAATTTTTATAAACAAGGCGCCTGTAGTTCCAATTATGTTAAACTCAAGAGATTAAAACATATGGACGTTGTCAAATCAGTATTGCATGAGTAAATGCTACTAGTTACAACGATCTGTGCTATAATGAATGGAAGACGAATCAATTGCCTGGCCGTGTGGTGTTTATATGAACTAATGATTCCTTTGTATTTGTTGAATGCTTGATTTCGAATTCCAAGTACAGCACATTCGTTCGCGCTTATCTAGTACCTCGTGATCCAATAGCGTTATTGCTGGGATTCCTAGTTTGTACTGTAATTCAAATACTCCTAACTATTATATTGGAACAATGGAGCATGTGATGGAATGATTAAACATACATTCAGATTTTGATTCTTTTGAGAATTACTTGGAAAGGTTCAAACTCTGGGCTATGACCAAGAGAGATGTTGAAGATAATAATGTAATAACATATTTCTTCACATTCATCGGAAAAGAAGCATATGGCTTCTTAAAAACTCTGGCTTTACAAGTAAAGAACCACTGCTAGACTATGTTAAGTATACAAATTTTGAATAAGGTAAAGAAGGAAAATTTCGAAAAATTGTTGATCAGAACATCAAAAATTCCACTGCATTACTACGTCATCCCAACCCAGTGCATACTCAAGATTAAGTACATAAACCATTGAGTTGAGATGCAGTTCACGATAATGGGCACAATTCGAATCAATGTTTGTCCTGTGGCAGATTTCACTCACTTGATTCATGTGTATTTCGTAATTCTAAATGCTTTAAATGTGGTGAGATTAGACACATTTGGCCAGTTTGTAATACTACGGTTCATTCCGCTGCAACTAATGCTAAAATTTGTAATTTTGATCCTATTAAATTGGGTGTTTCTAGTGATCATTTATCTTTATCCACGACTTTAAAAAGTGTTCTAGAGTCACATAGCAGTTCAAAGTTAAATGAAACTCAGATACATTATGATACAAAAGTTTTTAATCAACCAACTCATCAGATCTCTCATGTTATCGAAAATTCGATGCAGTCTTGATGGATGCTGATTTTTCCAATGATCCATTACTGTTTACTGAAATTCTTGATAAATTTCATATGTTACTTATCCTCGTAATGTATTTGTTTCTTGTGAGACACTTGTTCAATGCGAAGCACGAGCACTAAGTGAGCTCGCTTTTGATTACAATTCGGATGATTTAATATCAACTGTTGTTTATCCTTATCATGAAGTTACTTGTAATGAATACTCCAGTCAATGTGCGAAATATGTTTTAAATGAAGCCACATCACTCGTAACTTGGGGACATGAAGATCCAAAATTATTTCGTGGGTGAGAATAGTGTTAGAAAGTATTTGATTCAAATTCTAGAAATTAGTGGCTCCAGTACACAACCAACATGATGATTATGCACAATTCCAGAACCCAGGTGAGTCCGTTCCAATTGAAGTTGCCAATACTTATGCTAATGAGTACATCCTATATCATGTAGAGTCTACGTCCAATATACTGTCAAACAGACATAGGATGAACATAAGGAGAAGACGGAAACCTAGACTCCGATTTAAGCTGTGGTGGGTGTGATGCTTGTATGAAATAATGATTCCTTTGTACTTGCTGAATGTCTAATTTCGAATTCCAAATACAGTACATTTGTTAGTGCTTATCTAATAATTCTTGAATATTTCTGGGGTTCCTAGCCTGTATAATAATTCAAATACTTCTAATTATCACACAATGATATCTTGGGACATCTGGTCTAAGAACTAGAGGGATTAAATTACGAACGATTACTTTTTTATGTTATTGAATGGTGGACAAATAGAAGGGCTTTGAATTTTATGCAGCGTCTAATCCCTTATAAGAAAGGGTATGACGGTTATGTTTGAAAGCCATTGAATTAACCGAAGTCTCATCAGTGGTCAGCTTGAGGAAGTGAATGACCTTATAATACGCTCATAGACTGCCCTTTTTCAGCTGGAAAAATGGGCGAACGGCAGGACATACTTCCGTTAAACCGAATGATAACACCTATCTCATCCTTTTTTCAGCACTGTTCTCTAACACTGACCTCTTCTTACTCTTGTATATTTTGGCAATAACGTCGTGCTAGACTACACTCAAGGTCACTGTGTGGTTCAGTGTTTGACTATTAACGTTTAACTGTTGGCTTGGAAACGTTGCTGAGATAATTGCAGATAGATGTCTGATTCCGTCTTGTTGGAAATATTTTTTGATTCTCATGTACCTACTTCTTGTTCATTAACTAAATCTTTTGTTGTTTAGCACCTTAGTTTGTGTTAGAGAAACAGGTTGTACCGTTTGATGTATTTCGCACTTCCAATATAATTAATTCTCTTCCTTGAATTAGAGCCGCTTAAATTGGACACAGTTTGTGCTTCGATATAAGTTAATAGGAGTCATTCAAAAACGCTACATTTGCTATGCAGAAGAACATAGTCTGACTTAATCGAATAAACTTCATTTTGTTAGTTCTGCGTTCAAACCGAATATTCATATATCGGTCGTTAAAGAAAGAAAAGTGAATTGTGAAAGTGGTGCAATAATGACGTTTGTAAGAAACAATAAGAATAAATGGTAATACGATTCGGCTATTTTATTGTAAAAAATGTTTGAATCAGGATAAAAGGGTGTGTCGTAGGCAAAATGAGTAATGTTATGAAAGAAGGCCCTAGTAAGGTCGATATGTAGATTCTTCACTTATTAACCATTTGGGGAACTAAACTTATCACCCATACTAATCATTGATGAACAGTTAACTCTTTTAAACTTCTAGTGGCTCAAAATAAGATCCAAATATAAATTATTTGCCACCACTCTCTCAACAATGGCCGACAGAGTTTAACCTAATTTAATTATATGCTAACTGATCGCGTACTGCAGACAACTATATGGTTGACATAGCCAGAAGCTTCATAACTTAACACATCAACAGCAAAAGCTTCATATATTTATTACGGAAATGTTACTGACATTTTTAAAGCCTACGTATGGTCTCTCCGAGAAAACTGTTTTCCTACCGAATTTTATCGTATCGTAACAATTACCAATATATGATGAAGGACACATTCAGACTGGAGATATAACAATATATTTAATATGAGTAACAGAAAGTTGTACAGGGTGACCATGCCTGCGATGTTGAGCCATATCATCCGATCAATTCGACCTCCTTCAATTCCTTCTTCCCACCTTCTCTGTCGTTTCGTTTTTCTCCGCGTTAAATGTTGAATATCCGTTTTTCCAGTTGTCTCGTATTCAGATTTGATGATTGTGTGGTTAGAGCCCAATGTCACTACAAATCCAATCAGTTGATTATTCGGATGGCATGACTCGGCCTTGCAGGTGTGGTCACTTGAATGTCGTCTACTATCTTCCATTCATATTAAATGTGTTGTTCTATCTCCAGTCTGAATGCGTTCTCCACCATATATTGGTGGTTGTTACAATGCGTTAGTGTAGACAATGATGTGACTTACACTTAACATCTTATAGATTAGACGGTTACACCATGACAAATCTAAAATTGTTGGATTAAGTCTATTCTTAAAGTAGTACTAAAACCGAAGTTGACCATAATTCTACAGTCTCAGATTCAGAAGAATATTATCAGCTTTACTCAATATTGTACGGTAATATTTTTGTGAACGAGATGACTGGGAAACATCAATCTATTGTTTAATGCAAATTACATGGTTGCTTAGCAAGACATGAAAGTTA